ACCCAGACAATTGTGGATTCAGACCCTGAGTCTACCTCTCCTTATTTGGAAAATAAAGTTTAAAAAAAGCACACATCTATTTTATAACATTCTAACAATAGGGATAAAGTGTCTAATGTGTGAATGATGCTTAAAGGTGACGGATCAGTACAATAGCAAAGAGCTGATCCTTTTTGGGCGAGTCTGGTTTTCAGGGAGTTGGGCCCTTTAAGGGGGTGTCACCCTAGTTTCCTACTCGAATCATCCCACCTGTCCTGGTGCGGGAGGCAGCGGCCCTCTAACCTTGAACTGACAGCTGTGCTCCACCAGCACCACCAATCAGTGTCCTGGAAGGAGCGAGCCTGTGGTGCGTGAGTGAATGAGTGAAAGTGGGGCTGCCTGCAGGTGGCAGGTGCAGCTGAAGACTGCCGTTCCCCACCTCTCTCTCCTTGGAATTCCTCCAGAGGAGGCAGGCGAGCTGTGTGTGGCTGCGCTGCTCCTCTTTGCGTGTCTGTTCCCCAAATAGAGGCTCCCCATTCCCCATTGCCCATGTCCCTATGTGGGTTGGGCACTCCATCCACACACAGTGCCCCGCTGTGGCACCCAGACTGAATGTAGCATCCCCATCCTGCTCCCGTCCTTGCCCGTAGCCTCCGAGGCCGGGGCAGGACTGGAGGACTCTGGCGGGGTGGCTGCTCATGCTGCCCGCTCTCGCTGGGGTGACCCAGGATGCCAAGCCTTCCCGCCCACTCTCCGACCGGCTCTGTGGCTCCGGCTGGTGCTGCTGTCTTTGTCGCATCAATTTGCATATTCCCTCCTTATTGGCTGTGGGCGTTGCCATCTTTACCGTGAAATGATGGTTAATTTGCATATTACTCTTTTATTAGATAGGATGGCCTTAGGTCACTCATTTGCCCTCAATCTTCTCTCCAATTTCTACAACTATAAAATGGGAATATGAATTTCTACACAACACTTCCCTGCTGTGAACTTTTCCTTAAGTAATACAAACCACTTTGATTTTTCATTTATCAGAACTCTTCAACATAGTTCTTGTTGTGATCAAAGATGTTGGCCCATGATAAGTTTCAATTGAGTATTTTATGTCATAACTGTCTCTGTTGCAAGGATAAACATCAACTAAGATGTAAAGTACAATGTGCCACACAAAGAGGAGATCATTATCACTCAATATCCATCTCCTGGGGATCACATGATCTGAAGGCCAGTCTGGGACTCAGGGTAAGGGACTGAGAGCTGCTGCCACTTCTGCTCTCAGAATCTTTATTACTCTTCTTGGACCTCTTAGAGAAAGTGCCTGGGCTGCTGATATAGAAGAGCAGGTCATATGGGCTAGGCAGGCTATAACACAAGCCATTTGCAGGCACCTCATTCTGTGGCCCAATGCCCAAACATCCCCCTCCATGCCCTTCTCTCCAAATATCCTAAGTATTTTCTTCTGCTCCTACCCCTCTACTCTAACCACCTGCTGGCTCAGGGCCTAATGGGGAACAGTGACTTACTGGATTCCCAGAGAGAGCAAAGACCCAGACTCTGAGCAACAACCAAAATATCCAATTTTCAACCTTCACCCAACCACTGCCCGATTCATAGGCTCCCTCTCCACTTAGCTGACTTCCATTTCAAGTTATAACTATCAGCAAACCTTTCCTGATTCCTCTGGCCCTCATCTCTCTTTTTTTCATATCACCAAACAAAAATTGCATTTATTTTCATATATATACCTATTTTTACTACTTAGCAGTGATCTATGATTCTTTGGTATGGTATATCTTCTCAAAGTAATTATAAATTTCTTGAGGGACACTTTTCCTTCTCTGGTTTACTCAAGGTCCAGCCTAGCACATAATGAACCTCTATTAACTAGAAATGAACCAACATGAATTAAATTGGAGGTGTGAGATGTGGGGAGGGCCTATGAGAAGGAAGAGGACTAACATCTATTCATTATTTGTTGATTATGTATGTGCCAGGCTATCTGCTAGATGATTTATATCCTTCATCCACACTAATAATGACAGATATTATTATTATTATTATTATTATTATTATTATATACATGAGAAAACTCAGACTTCAGAAAGCTAAAACCTTTGGCCATGTGGTAAGGAGATGACTCCAGTACTACTTGATTCCAAAGCCCATATTCAAAGATTGGTAACAGCATGAATTCCTATTAGCAAAGTGGTTATATTAAATAAATTATGATATTCCTATATTAGGCAATACTGTGCAGTTATAAAAACAGAGTGAGGACTTTATAGATTTAATGTGTAATAACATCCAATATATATTTTGAAGCATAAAAGGCAAAATGGAGGATAATGTAAATTATAGGTTACCATTTGTGTTTTAAAAATAGAGTGTATACACACACGTACAATTGTTTGTACATATACAGAGTATTTCCAAAAGGACACACCAGGTAACATTGGTGGCCTATCCAGAGGGGACCAGGGTAGCTGGGAGACAGGGGTGGGAGAGAGACTTTTCACCATTGTACATCTTGAATTTTGACTAATATCAAATAAATAAAATTGCATTTATTAAAGTATAATACAATCTCTTTCCACAAAGCAATGCCTGGGGATTGACTTGGAAAAGTTCTGGGAGAGGCCTAGCCAGTTTGGCTCAGTGGAAAGAGCTTCTTTCCCGGGGTCCATTCTTGTCAAGGACACAAACCTCTGTTGCAGGCTCCTCCCCAGCCTGGGCCCTGGTCCAGGTGTGTGCAGTAGGCAACCAATTGATGTGTTTCTCTCACATCAATATTTCTCTCTCTCTTACCCTCTCTCACTCTCTCTAAAAAAAATAAAATAAATCAATGGAAAAATATCTTCGGATGAGGATTAAAAAATAAAAAGTTCTGGGAGAGATAAAGTGGTCAGTATGCCAGTGACTGAATTGGGGAACTCCCAGGGTGCCAGAAGCCCCATCCCTTGCACCCATTTCCCAAAACCCCAGTTGTTCCTCTAATTGAGCAACCTCCACTATAATAATCATCTTTCCATAATGCTGATTGAGGTCACATCTCTTCAAATATAATACCAGAAGGGATAGGATCAGGTGGTCTCTAAAATGCCTTCCAGCTCAGACCTTTAAAACACTGAAAATCAAGATGGTAAGTCCTAGTATATTTGAAGTCTTAGTTTCAAAGAAGGTCTTAGGGATTTTGATTGTTGTTTGTAACAAAGAAGAGAAACATTTCCATTCTGATTTGCCTCTTAAATGGTCTTAATAAGGGCTCCCTAAGTTGTCACTAAAATATTTGCTCAAAATTCCTGTTGCATTCCTTCTTCAGGCCTTGGCCTTCTGTGACCTATGTTTCCAGGACTATCTTGTTTAGAACACAAGGAAATTGGTCCATTCCAAAACTGAATACAAATGAGCAAGGCCCTTTCTTATGTTTAAAGATCCCTGGTCCAGACCTTCTGACCCTAAATATCCTTTTCCTTCTTCCTCACTACCTTCAGGAGAACAGAGGCTATGTGAGAGACCCCAGGAGGAAGTGACACCCTAACTCCACCCAGCATCCACCTCCAATTCCTAGCAATTCCTACTAAAAACCTCAGGCCTTGACTCTTAGAGAGATCTGTGAGCTCCTGCCAAGAGCTATAAATATTTCAACATTCCTTGTTTCCTTGAATGTATATGGCCTGGAATTTGGTCCCTCTTCTCCCTGCACTCTTAGAAAATGGGGAACAATAACAAAAAGAACACAGCCAGTCCTTAGCTACAGTATAGAAGAATGCAGAAGAATGCAGAGGGGAGATGGGGATGGAATGGAGTGGGGAGGTAGAAGGTAGGGAGGAGGGGTTAACTCCTCTTCCAGACACATGTAGAGAAAGGTATAGCTACTCAATTTCTAGGGGCTGGGTAAGGTTACTGGATAATGACAACAACATTACCTCCTTCCCAATTATAAAGGTCTTTCACCTACACAATCTCATTTGACCTTCATAGTCCTAAAAAAATGAAATACTATTAATCTCATTGTACAGATGAGAACTGAAGCTTTGAAAGCTGATATGACGTCTTTAGGGCTAAACAACTAAGAAGAGACAGTTTCTCTAGCCATTTTTGGACCCAGAGATCATGACTCTGGGTAGAGGAAGATGACATGACTGTTGAACTTTTGTTTACTAAATTCTTTCATGGTCATCTCTTTTTATCCCTTAGTCATAGGATACTCTGAGGCTACAGGAATGAAAAAACTCTGTAGCAGTCCCCCTTGGTAGCTACTCCTCCTGAATCTTTACTATGCATTAAGAAATATCCAAAAGCAGGAGTTCTGGACTCAGACTCTGTGGGTTCAAATCCTGGCTCAGCCATTATTAGCTATATGAGCATAAACAAGTTAACTTCTGTGCCTCTGTCTCTTTACATGGGAAATGGTGAAAATAATGGTACCTACCTCTTAGGGTTGTTCAGAATTAAAATGAGTTGGTACATGTAAAGTGGCACAGAGTTGATTACTAAATGCTAAATAAGTGTTAGCTATTATTATTATTATTACTAGTGACCCAGTGCATGGATTCATGCACATTGAAAGGAAATTAATTAGAAGGTGGCCAGTGGGGTGGGACTGGGTAAAATGGGCCAGACATGCCTTGGAGCCAACTTCCCATGGTCCCTCTCCAGCTGGCCACACCTCGGGTAGCGCTATGGCTTGGAGGGCATCTGCAGAGGGAGCGGGGTCCCTCTGGCAGGTGGGGTCCCTAGGCCTGGCCTGTGGAGATCAAGCCAAAACCAGCTCTCCGAAATCCCCTGAGGGGTCCTGGAGTGCGAGAGGGCACTCTGCAAAGTTGCTGTTGTACAGGGTGTGGAACGCAAATGCAAGTGTACAGTAAACAAGATTTGGGGCTGACAGTGCCCCAGAAACAACATAACCCATGGCTAAAGGTGGAATCGTGCAGCCCCTCAAGGAATCAGGGTCCCTCCTCTCTGGTTTTGGGGTGAGTCACCCAAGAACCGCCCCTGCCAAGTCACTGCAGCTCAGCAGCTCCTGCGTTGAGTCTCTGCCCCCTGATGGTCAGTGCACATTGTAGCTACCAGTCAGATAGACACTTAGCATATTAGCCTTTTATATATATAGATACTTAACAGAAGTAAATGTAAAAAAAAATCACACTGTAGAATGCAGCAGAGCAGTTATCACTAGGATGTGTGCTTTGCATCTTTTCCCCAATAGCAAGGAAGGGTTATAGAAAGTCATCTCCATACTTCTTCTCAGTCCCCTTGGGATTAGTGCCAACCCCACATGAGAGGCATGCATGGGAAACAGAAGAGTTTCTTCTTTGTGATAAGCTCAGTGACTGAACCTGTTACCTCAGTCTCATAGATACTAAGTTCTAAGCAACTGCGCTAATTGACCCAGACAGACATAACAGAGCTATACACACGTACTCACAGGTCCGGACACATGAGTGCATGCACATACCCTTTCAACCTGGGTAAGAGAATGTGCAGGCAGATCCACAAGATAAGCTTGGCAAACATACTGATGGAGACTTCTTGTTTAGTGACATTTCCCTTCAGCTGCATAGAACCAGAGAAACAACTAACCTGAGAACTTCACTTCCCCTCTCTCCACCACCACTGGAGGCACTTATGAATCTAACTGGGACTTGAGTATCCATTTCCTCCCTTCTTCAACTTCTTTAACAACAATTTTACAATATTTTTTTTTTACAAGAAGAGAGATGATAGTGGCTCAAATAGAATGAAAACTTCTATTCTATCCAGAATTCCTGAAGCTACTGAAACTCAATCTGAACTCTCTGGAGATACAGTTGGCCTAGGAGATGAGGAATAATGAGAGTGAATATTTGAAGAGAAAGGGGTACAACTGACCAAGACATTTTCTAATACTATTGGAGAAGACCTACTACAATACTATCTGCTTGGCTGGGGCCCTGGGGCTATGTAAAGAAAAGGTGTGAAAAAGAGAAAAAGGGTTTCATAGCAGATATCTTACTGCAAAAATCCAGCGGTGATGGCTTCCACACTCTTGAGTGCCCCATAGAAAGTCATCCTTCCCCCATAAAGTGGAGAATAAGACAGAGGAGAAAGTGAAAAAAAAATGGCTCTGTGAGATGTGTAGGATTGGGCCTGAGATCCAGTCTAGAGTTGGGCCTGTGCAACATCCAGAACCCCAGCTGTTCCTCTAATTGAGCAAGGAAAAAAAGAAAAAAAAGAACAATACTGGGAGGAAGGGAAGTGCCTTATCTAGCAAATGTGATACAAATGCACCATGAAAGCAGAAGGAGCCAAGAAAATATGTGGTTTGCCCAGAACAAAAGACTTAAACAGAATGAAAGTGAAGGGATGGAAAACATTTTTCTAGGCAAATAGAAATGAAAAAAAGCTGGGGTAGCAATACTCATATCTGACAAAATAGACTTCAAAGTGAAGG